TCGGTGTCCTGTCCATAATCCAGGGTCTGCTGTGTTTAGTGTGTATGAAAATCAAGCCACCGTCAGTTTGGAAAACGTGGGGGTGCATTCTCCATGGACAGACTACACAGGGCTGTAAAAGCCTCTGCCAGAGGGGGGTGGAAGGGTGAGGGGGTGGATATGAACCCCGGGAAAAGTCCTGCAGACATTTAAGTTGCTTCAGACTGAGACGGATGAGGTCGTGAGACCACGGAAAGAGACTCTGGGGATAAATCTAAAAATAACGAAGTAGATTCCCTAATGGGTAAGATGTCATGCTGTCCAAGGCAACGCTGGGACATCCGATCTGCTCATGAATGGACAGACTGCCTGCACCTTCCACACAAGCCATGCCAGGCTCCTGAGCACAGACTCAGAAGGAAATGCTGGTCTGTGAAGCCTGAAGTCAGCCAGATGCTTTCTCCATCTTGGTCAGCCTCCGTGATGAACTGTGCCACGTTAGTCGAGCAGGGAGTTTAGCAGGAAGGCCGAGGTTCTGACCTGACCCTCCTGGCCTCCCCTCAGCTGACCTCCCGAGATCACAGAGCACACAGTGTTCTCCAGTGGGGGAAAGTGGTAAATGGTGGACACAGGCAGAAGCAGGGAAGGAAAAGCCATCGATAGGATAGTCTGTCTAACAAAATCTTCTCTGTGAGCCCAAACTCTTGGGGTAGGTTCCAATCTTTAATTTTGCTTATTGGCTCGTGTGTGTGTGTGTGTGTGTGTGTGTGTGTGTGTGTGTGTGTGCGCGCTTTACCCCGCTCTCTCCTCCTACTGAGCAGCACACTGGAGGAGCAGAAAAGATCTGTTGTCTCCTCACTTCAAAGAGACAACTACCTAACTGAAAATGGCCAAGTCTGTCCTCAATACTACCAAGCTTTACTGAGGAAACAAGGAATATCTCCCACAATACAAATAGAGAGATGTGTGATACAACTGAGCTAGGAATCTTGCTTCCTAAATCTGCTGTAAGAAGCTCATTACAGCCGGGCAATAGGAGGCAGAGGCAGGCAGATCTCCATGAATTTGAGGCCAGCCTGGTCTACAGTGTGAGTTCCAGGGCAGCCAGGGCTACACAGAGGGGGAAAAAAAAAAGGAGGTCCCTGGGCTTGAGCGCTTCATCGTGTATGATCTTAGACCATCAGTGTCCAACTTTATATTCCATCAAAGATGTGAAGTCAAGACTGGAGCTAGGATGTAGCTCAGAGGGTAAATGCTTGTCTAACCCTTGGGAAGCGCTGGCTTTGATCCCCAGCACCCTGCAAATCAGGGGTGCGACACACCTGTAATCCTAGCATTTGGGAGCTGGATGTAGGAGGCTCAGAAGTTCAGGATCATCCTTGGCTACACAGAAAGTCTGAGGCCAGCCTGTGCTACATGAGACCACGTCCTGAATGCCTAAGATAAACAAGACCTTATTACGGATGCCTTAGAGGGATACAAAGAGTCAGCAAAGAGCGCATGCCTTAGTTACAGGTGAACACAGGGATTCTCAGTTCCTTACAACTAACAGTCAGTTCCTTCCCACGCCAATGCCCAGCCTAATAAAATTTGTTTGTTGGCATGCACAAGCACACGGCAGCATACATGTGGAAGTCAGAGGATGACTTGCAGGAGCCGATTCTGTCCTTTTGCCGTGTGAGATCTGAGACTCAAACTCACGTCTTCCAGTTTGGTGGCAAGCACCTGGTCCTCCTGCTGGCCCTGTTAGGGCCTTGTGAGCTGAGAAACTGTGAAGCTGTCTTCATTGGCCTACTGTTCTTCCTCAGCCATAACCTTCTTCCCCGCACACAGCTACTTCAGCCATCATTCTGGCCACCTGACTGTTTGCTCATTTAGGGTGTGACCTTCCCACTCAGGAAGTTAACATTTTAAGTTAAATATCTTAAATGCCAACTTCTATTGGAACTGAATTTCTTCAATAAGCCAAGCATAACCCAGATGTCAAGACTAAGTGGTAATATATTGCTTGTTTGGAACATCCCAATTCTTAGTGTACAGTAGGTCTCTCTTTATGCAGAATTCCATTTTCTGTGGTTTCAGTGCCCTGTGGATGGCTATGGTAAGAAAGTAGTAAGTAGGAAATTCCAGAAAATAAATAATTCATACATTTTAAGTAATTTTGTATTATAATACAATTGCTCTATGTTATTATTAATCATTGCTAATCTTCTTAAAAATAACATAGTTATTTGTATTTTATGTTAATGGGTGCTTTGCCTGCAAGTTTGTTAAGCACATCACTTCATCTTCCAGCAGCTGTGTCACAGCTCCCACCCATCTTCAGGCTTTCATTCCAAGACTCCTTGGGTAGGACTGAACCTTAGCTGTAACTATTTGCTGCTGGACTCACTTCCCATGACAAAGCTGACTTATAAAATCACACACTTCTGTCACAGGACTTGGTGGAAGCAAGCGTGTACTAACCTGGACGTCTCCTCCGTGAAGGAAGGGGCTATGGAAGCTAAGGGAGAAAAGTTACTAACAGTCCTAGCCACCTGTGAAGCTGAAGAGCCCAGAAGACTAGCCCAGCAAGATACCGATGTTCAAACAGTGGCAGGTACATGGTGGGGATAACCAACAGCTGATTAGATGAAAGCCCACACAACAGAAAGAATCCCATGCTTATACCACAAGCCCATCCAAGAACCCGTGACTGCACAGGTCACAAACCCCTATTTGAGTACCTACTACTGCCATTTTGCTAAATCAATATAGTTCCCAACTGTATTCTACATGCTTATCCTTACACCCATCCCTGATGGCTCATGTCTCATCGAACACGTTTCTTTGCAGCAGATAAAAGCTTTTATAGAGATCCCCACCAGGCCAAAATGCAGAGAATAAGGCTCAGGGCACATTGCAGAAGGGGGACAGTAAGCCTGTAAGACCCAGAGGACCAAGACACCTACCTCAAGGTAGTATTTTCTGGACCTTACAGGGAAGCTGCACCCATGAAATCTCGACAGTATGGCTGCCTACACAAGACCTGTACAAGACCACACCAGTCAACATGGCAATGTGTACGGGGAAAATTTCAGAAAGCCCCCTTCTTAGATGAAGAGCTATAAGCAATCAATAGCTGTTGACAGGGACAAAAGACCCGATAGGTTTTCTGATCCTACGTGCTCAGCCCTAAGCTCATGTATACAGGGCAACACACACACCACACCCATGCTCATAGATACACACGTGTATTTGACAATTATAGAACTAATAAATTTGAGGGGGTAGTGCAGGGGGCACAGAAAGAATCGGAGGGGAGAAGGGAGGCGATGATGTAAATACAACGTGTTTGCATATGAAATTCTCAAAAATTAAAAAAAAAAATGTATGTATGTCTTATGGTTTCTACTGCTGTGGAGAGACACCACGACCATGGTAACTCTTGTAAGGTAAAACATGTCACTGGGGCTGGCTTACAGTTGAGAGGTTTAGGCCATTATTGTCATGGCGGCGTGCAGGCAGACATGGTGCTGGAGGAGGAGCTCAGAGCTCCACGTCTGTATCCACAGGCTGTGGGAAGTAACAGTGACACACTTGCAATGCTTGAGACCTCAAAGCCCGTTCCCCGATAACACTCCTCCTCCAACAAGACTATACCTACTTCAACACGGCCACACCCTCTAATGCCACTCCCTATGGGCTATGGGAGCCATTTTTATCCAAACTACCACAGTACATATACATGCGCGCGCGCGCGCGCACACACACACACACACACACACACGCACACACACACACACACACAGAGTTGATATCATCACTGTGACAGGCTCTAGAATCACCTAGCACACAAACACCTGGGCACGTCTGAGGGATTTTCTAGATTGGCTGAGGTAGGAAGAAGAGTCACCCTAATTGTAGGTAGAACCATCCGTTCCATGGACGAGGTCCTGGGCTGCATAAAAATAGAGCCAGCTGGGTGGCAGTATTCACCTCCCTCTGCTTCCTGACGGCAAAGGAGTGGATTCTCGCCTCCCATTATGTGGTCCTGGGGACTGAACTCAGGTCCAGACTTGGCAGCACACATCTTTAACAGCTGAGCCATCTCACTAGCCCATACACATCTGGCTTCTTTGCCCTGAGTGTAGGGGTGGGACCATGTGGTACCTGAGCTAGAGTGTTTTCAAGTAAATCATAGAACCGGGAGTTCAGAAACATTGTTTTAAAAGTAAATAGTATCTTCCACAGTAGAAGCCAAGAGAGGCAAGAAACCATGGACGCTATTTTGTTCTGCATCCCTTTGAGCTATAGCCTATAACCCATAGAGATGTGATTTTGTGTTGGCAGCCATGACTTGTCCCTTCTTTCTACTCCCTCGAAGGCAGTTGGTACAGACGTTAGAAGGCGCTGGGCACAGGTTTCCCTGAGGCTGTAAGGCAGGAGAGTGAACTGAGGGAGGTGACAGGGACTACAGAACAAAGGCTTGACACCAGACCACTAAAAAAGGCAAGCTAGAGCTTGGGGGCGAGGCAACAGTGGTCCGAATGGGGCCGGTCCCCACAGGCTCATTATTTTAATGCGTGGTCCCCATCAGTGGAACTGTTTGGGAAGGGTTAGGAGCTGTGGCCTCGTTGGAGGTGTGTCACTGGGACGGGCTGTGAGGTTTCAAAAGTCCCCATTCCTAGCTAGCTCCGCCTGCCTCCCTCATGTTTGTGGATCAAGATATGAGCTCTCAGGAACCGCTCCAGCATGACGTCTGCCTGCCTGCTCCCATGTCCCTCATCACGACAGGTTGTCTTGGTCATGGAATTTTGTCACAGTGTTGAAAAGTAACTACGATGCCCATCACCTCTCCAGAGGCCCCTGGACTTGGATCAAAGAGCTAGGAGAGCGAGGCTCCTTAATTGTCCCTCAGTATGCAGCGGACAGGGTGGGGTCTCCACTCAGCAGAGAAAGGACATTTTCCTAAAACGAACGAGTGAAGGAACAAACACTCAAAGTAACTAGATCACAGGACCCAATACCTTTTATTCTTCTTTCTTTCTTTTCTTTTTTTTTTTTTTTTTTTTTTTTTTTTTTTTTTTTTTTTTGACATTACTTTGTATACACTGTCAGGCATTTGAAAACCTTTCTTTCTTTCTTTTTTGTTTAATTAAGCAAGTTATCATGGGAGGATTTCATTCCAGTGCTTCAGAAATGTGATCCTTCATCCCTGGAAGGGCTCATTCCCCCACGGCTCTGGATAACTGAGGTTTTGTCATAATTTCGATGTGCCACCTCAGACAAACAGCAGTGTCATAATGACACATAAGTGCTTTGGAAGAGCAGGAAAGAAAAATCCTCTCCAAGTATAAAAAGTGTCCTGGCAGCGTGGGATAGACGTGGCTCCTGCAGCCTGAGGCAATGTCACAGGACTCAGCAAACAGTGGCTCTCCAGCCAGCCACCTCCAAGCAGCTGCTCTGGCTGGTTGCCTGGCGGAAGATGGAGCTGCAGAAAGGGGTATGGACTTGTCTAGTGGCCTCCACCTCTGCGGCTGCAGTGGTGATGAGTGAAGCCCTGCATCCAGGAACTGGGAAGTCCCCTCTGCCGTCCGTTCTACCAAACAGAGCAGCAGAATCCAGACGGACGCAGGCACCAGGGCCATCACCAAAGGGACAGAGGCCCCTCTCCTGCTACCGCATCACCTGCTGCTCACCGTGCAGACGACATGTGTACAGTTTCTGCAAATTAAATTATTTCCTTAGAATACAATAAGATTCTCTCTGAAAAGTCTTTTCAATCCCATTCTTAAAATTAATTTATAAAAATGTGCAAAACCCAACAATGACTTCAAATAAATAGGGCAAAGAGGTGAGGGGTGGGAGGAGCTAAACTTTTTTGTTTTTTGTTTTTGTTTTTTTTTCCTTCTTTTTTAATTAAAAGTTTAAAAGCAGCTGCGAGTCAGCGCAGCTGCGGGGTGACTGCAAGCGAGGGCTGTTCGCCACGGTTCTCAGCTGCGTTTCTAATTGAGGTTTGTTGTGCTCAAAATTCGCAATGGATGCCCCCGCTGAGGTCCTTCACCACACCCTCCTTGATCAACTTCAGGAGGAACTTGGTCTCTGTGGTCACATTGTGCATGAGCTGAAAGTTCATGGCACCCATGCACTGGCTGTCGAAGTAATGCAGAGGGATCCGGGGCCGACTGAGGTCATATCCAAAGCCTGCCAAGCTGACTTCGTCACACAGGTGTGTGGCTAAGACAATGGCAATGGCACCGATTGTGGGGATATTCTGAAAGGAACACAGACAGATTTAATACAGTTCTTCACTTTTAAAAACAACACTTTGTTCTATTTTTCAGACAGAGTTTCACCATGGAGCTCTGGCTGTCCTGGAACTCATGGAGAGTCCCCCAGAGTTCACAGGTTCGCCTCCAGCAGCTAACCATTCATTCTAAATCGCTTCAAGCGCCACGGGTACCCACTTCTCAATGTCAACCTTGGTGTAAAAAGGACCATCGCAGTCAGTCTGCGTGCTTGTAAGCAGAGGCCAGGAGAGATGACGACAAGGACGGCCCTCTGCTATGGCTGTGTGACACTGTCTGTGTCCTCTAGCATGTAGCCTGGAACACACAGGAGCTCCACAACCAGTGTGTGAGCAATCATGCAAACAGTGCATGACGAGAGATCAGAAAGGGCTGCAGAGGCTGCCAAGAAGGCTCAGCAGGTAAAGGTACCTGCTGCCAGACCTGAGGAGCTGCGTTCAGTTCCAGGGCCAACAAAGTAGAAGGAGAGAAAGGATTCTTGCAAGCTGTCCTCTAACACACACACACGCCCACACACTCACACACCCACCTACACACACACACACCCTCACACACACCCACTCACACACACACTCACACACCCACCTACACACACACCCTCACACACACCCACACACCCTCACACACACTCGCACACACCCACACAAAGACAGACTAGAACCTCCTCAATTGTCTGAGGCCCACAAAACTTCTCCACATGATGGAAGGGCACATGAATGAGAAATCTCTGACGTGGAGATTTTCAGAGCTGACCTAGGCTGGCTTTGAACCTGCCACGAAGTAGAGAACAACCTTAGAGTTCTGACCCTCCTGCTCCATCTCCTGGTGCTGGGATTACCGACCTGTAACACCTTCTGGTTTGTGTGAATTCAGGGATCCACTAATGCTGGCTGAGCACTGTAAAACTGAACTACACCCCAGCGCCCCACACCCTGTTAGAGTGCTAAGTACTCGGGCTGATGCTGTCTTCAGCTGCAGTGGTATCTTGCCTTGCTAGCGCAGTTGTGATGGTGAACTCCTTTAAACCCTTAAAGCCTTCATTCAGCCTTTTGCTACTAATGCCGTTCTTTCTGAAGCAAGGTTTCACTATGTAGCTGAGCCTGGCTTTGAACCTGCCTTAACTTCCTGAGCACTGGCATGGTGGGTATACCACAGTGCCCAACCGAGATACTTCTTATGATTTAAGAGGCTTTTTATCTTTATTATTTGGGTGTATTTGGTCGGTCTCTCTCTCTCTCTCTCTCTCTCTCTCTCTCTCTCTCTCTCTCTCTCTCTCTCTCTCTCTCTGTGTGTGTGTGTGTGTGTGTGTGTGTGTACCTAAGGAGGCCAGAGGAGGCAGAGGAGGGTACCAGATGCCCTGGAGTTGGAGTTACTGACAGTTGGGAGCCACCTGATGTAAGTGCTGGGAACGGAACTCAGGTTAGCCGTAAGTGCTCAGCCATGTCTCCAGCCCATCCTTTTTATTTCTTCAGGCTCATTTTTTTTTTTAGCTCAAGAAAGATTTTTTTTATTTCAAGCATGTTTACTTCATCATTCATGTATACATGTGCTAAATGTTGTTTAAGAAGGATTTTCACGCTGGTCTTATAAGTTTTAAAGACATGGGCCAAGCTACAATAAAAGCATTCTCCACAGCACCCCCTTCTGGCAGCACACGCTAACTGCAGGTTAACAACCTCCTCAGTGGAAATCTAGAAGGCAAAGGTTCTCAAATTAGGCTGTGAGGCAAATCACCTGGGTAATTTTGAAAACCTCCATGTACAGACCACACCCTGACCAATGAAGTCTGACTGTCTGGGGTGGGACCAGACTGAAAAGCACTGTCTTAGAGGGCTGACTTCATTTATCGTCACCTGTGATGTACTGGTAAGTACCGATTATTAGTATCTCGTAGGGATAAAATATACACAACCTTTTTTAGATTAACAAAATACCTCTCTTAGTGTCTGGCAGTTGAATGTGGCCCTGGGGCAAAGATACCTTAATTAACATCTCGGAAACGGAAGTGTCACTATTCTAAAAGGTACACCTACGAAGAAAGCTAACTCAACCACAAGGAGCCCTGGCACCAAGGGGTGTAACGATAATCACACATGGGCTTGTCTGGTCAACGCCTCCAGTGGTATAGATGAGCTCACAGCGAACCTGAACACACTTTCTCTAGCACACAGAGGACAGTTAATCGAGTAGCAACAAAAATACCTTTTCCTGGCCCCAGAATCTCAGCTGAGGCTCTGAGTACTGAAGGATGTCAAAGGCAGTCTCTTTGATGATAACTGGGTTCAGAATCCTGAAGTGTTTCGCCTGGAGTGGGATTTTTTCTGCCACCTGCTTCCAAAAGAAGAGCCGAACCCAGAAAGGCTGAGGAGCAGAGCGCAAGCAATAGTTAGGGATGCTTAACCCCGTTATCCCATCAACAGAAGGTGAGAGCGTGAGAAGGCACTCACTGCCAGCTGTGCCAAGGTCATGGGCACACCGGGGCCTTGTACCCTGCACCTTGGAGTACAGTCATCTAATGCACGGAAACCGAGCATTTCAACCCAACAATGTAACCCTGAAACTTGCAATTTACATAGGTGGTGCAGATCTGAACAGAAATGACAAAACCAGCTTGTTTGCTAGAGGAAGAAATTCCTAAAGAATGACCTGAGCCATGGTGTCTCTTTTCCAACCCACAGCCACGTGTTCCCAGGAAAGGCCAGAGAACAGGCTCGACTTAAGGGTAGTAAGTGTGATGAGTGCCTTGTTGGATGGGCTCTCGCCTCGTGCCTACTTCCCACTGACTCCATTTCCTAGTCTCATAAAGTTGCTTAGCAACTGACTATAGGCCGCTTCATCCCCCATCAGAAGTTTTGCACAATAGGAAATCCAGAAGATCACATTCATCTGCAGAGAATTGGGCTCTGGACATATAAACTGTTCTATCATACAGCACAGTCTGCTAATTAAAAAAGTATATTGTAACCATGGTGCGTGCATGCGTGCGTGCGTGCGTGTGTGGTCATAGCGCATGCATGGAGGCTGGAGGACGATCTCTGGAAATCATCTCTTTCTTCCATGAAGCTCCTAGGGATTGAAGCTGGGTTGTCAGGCATGGTGGCAGACACCATTACCCTCTGAGCCATCTCTGTGGACCCTATTCTGTTAGTTTTGGAGATTGTTATTTGTGATCAGCTTGATAACTGAGCTCTGAAAATTATTTCACTTTAATGGATGGAACTACAAAGTAGCATTAACTGATTCAATAAGGACCAACAAGAGGAATCTGAGCAAGTGGAGGCCTCTGCCCTTCAAGAGTGCTTTGGATCTACTGCAACGAGAGGGTCTTGCCTACAGCATTGTGGAGAACATCTCTGGGATGATTATGTATAATAAACTTCAGCATGGTTGACATTCATCCTTGGGCAAATCTCACTTCCTTCAAGTCCATGTCTGGAGAACAAGGCAATCAACCCCTGAATAGAAAGCATGCTCTTAAAGTTGATAATTCCCGATAAGTAATGGCCACTATTTTCACATAAAATTCTTCTCATAGTTTTGTTTATTTATTTGTTTGTCTCAGGTAGACCAGGCTGGCCTCAAACTCTATGTAGCTGAGGATGGCCTGGAGATGATTCTCCTGCCTCCACCTCCCAAGTGCTGAGAATAAAGGTACAACAGGTTTTATGTGGTACTGGGGACTGACCCCAAGCCGTGTGCATGCTAGGCACGCACTGTACAGACTGAGCGACACGTTCAGTCCCACACGCCGATTCTTAGTCAGGTTCCGAAAGCAAATGCGCAGAAGAGTTCTGAGGTTTCTACAGAGAGGGAGGACATAACCTTCACAGACAACACAAAAGTCTGTAGTCTACTGTGTCTATTTAAAAAGTGGAAGTCCACAATTGACTCTAAGATACCCTCATTTTTACAAGTGCCAGGTTTCCAGAAGAATTCTGGGTGCTTACCAAGGTTTCATTTTTTAACATTGCTTGAAGCCACTTGAAATCAACACTCTTAAATAAAACGGTGACAAACAAGTCACTGGCATAGTATTCCACGTCTGATCGTGGTGCTCCCTCTGGGTAAGTCATCCTTATGGTGGTTTTATTTCCAACGTGTTCAGAATAACCCTCGATGGGTGCACTGTTTAACCTAGTCAGACAAGGAAAAATTTGAAAAGGAAGTCATTAACTATGTTGTCCCACCATGTGGCAGCCCAACATCCTATGCCATGTCCTCCACGAGTCAGGACGTTGCTGGAGTAGAATTCCCTCCCAGGGGCCTTAGTGCTCTACACAGCACTGTCCCTCAGGGTACTGGCTGAGTGCAGCCTGAAGTCCACGATGGAGCACCAAGATATGACCCTGTCAGCTTAAGCAGTCTGTCATGTCCCAGTATTTGAAGCCAGCCCAAACCTAACATCCGGAGCTTTCCTGGATATTCCTTTCTTTGAAAATCTCCTGTTTGCTCAGATAATGAAGAGTCCTTTCCAGAATTCCAAAGTCCCCTGAGCACTTGGGGTTACAGAGCTATGCCACTGTGCCCAGGTCTTCTGAAATCTCATAAAAATACCCGACACACAGTTGTGCCTAACCTTGCTGCCTCGTGCCGCTTCTTCCAGATCTTAAACACCTAATCCCATGGTTACTAATGCAGGCTACTCAATAGGACAATAAATGCCAAAGCATGCACTGGGCCAGATGGTTTTCTTTCTTCTGCTTCTTTTTAAAAGGAAGGGCATTATTGATATGAAGTCTGTAGATTAGATCAGTAGATTGATGTATGGATACAATTCGTTAATTCTATTATATTAACATTCTGATCTTGAGTGTCATGTTCCTGTTCTCAGGAAAAGCACACTCAAGCTCCTGATATTTGTAACTTTCAAAAGGGGTTGAGCAGAGAGTAACAGTACGAGAAGGTATCGGGCCTTCACCGACTCAACTTAAAACCTTTCAAAGCGATGCACATTTGACAGAACCCAATTCTGAACTTCGCATCTGTTCTCTTCCTGGGCTGCTACCATTTGTGCTATGAAACCTTTTACGATGCCACAGGTGAGAGGAAATGATTGGCACTCTACACTGAGCTGTGCAGTAGGCAGGTAGAGTCAATGCATCCCACGCTGCCCCTTCCCTTATAAGCACGAATGGGTTGACACGAGGAGTCTTCCTCAAATGCTCTCCAACTTACCGAATGAAACGAGGTCTCTCTATTTGAGTCAAAGCTCACCAGTATGGCTAGTCTAGCTAGCCATCCTGCCCAGGGGGTCCCCTGCCTCTGCCTCTTGAGCCTGGAATTACAGAGCACGGAATCTACAGGTCGCCTGCCTGGCCTTTACTCAAGCACTAGAGATCTGATTTCCAGTCCTGCGTCAAGAGCCTTATGCACCAAGCTCTCCCCCTGCCTCTTATTATATTCCTGAGGAAACCTATGCTGGGTGGACAGGTGGAACCCTCCTCAAAAGCCAAGAGCATCTGCATAGATCCAGGAGAAATAAGCAATGGATGGAGTGTGGTCAGCCAGAAGATCTGAGGGAGGGTAAATGGGAATTATTTGTACTATTTCCACAAAATTATGAAAAAATGCTTCTTAACCAGTCTTCCTCTTTGTAGCCAGGCTCCAAGCACCCTTCACTGTCCCTGGTGCACAGATGCCTCTTCCCTTATGTCCTCGGCCGCAGCCCTGCCACCCCAGGACACCAAGCCTCTTTTCTGGCCCCTCCCCACTGTCTTAGCTCTGTCCCCACACCCGGCAGTGTTCCTCACTCAGCCATCCCCAACTGCTTCCTTTCTGAGAAGACACACCACTGTCCTTCAAAGTCAGCTTGATGTGCAGCCCCCTCTAGCTACTCTGTCCTGGAACTGAAGGTCTGTGCTGATAGCACCCATCCTCCTACCCCATCTTTCCCACAGCCTGGCCCCCATGGCTGGGTGGGCGGGGCTCCTTCCCACAGCCTGGCCCCTATGGCTGGGTGGGCGGGGCTCCTTCCCACAGCCTGGCCCTGCACTCCTGGATGGGTGGGGCTCCTTCCCACAGCCTGGCCCCCATGGCTGGGTGGGCGGGGCTCCTTCCCACAGCCTGGCCCCCATGGCTGGGTGGGCGGGGCTCCTTCCCATTGCCTGGCCCCCATGGCTGGGTGGGCGGGGCTCCTTCCCACAGCCTGGCCCCCATGGCTGGGTGGGCGGGGCTCCTTCCCACAGCCTGGCCCCCATGGCTGGGTGGGTGGGGCTCTTAGCCCTGTTTTGTACACTGCTACTCGCACACAGATATTAATTTATCTGCTCGGTGGGACCGGGCACAAGGTTGTGGAAGCCTCCAGACGCGGCATTTAAGCAGCGAGGGACGGACTGTCACCTGTGCCCTTCTGTGGCACCCGCGAGGCATGACAGCATCAGCCATTGGGGTTACTTCCGAGAAGAGAGCGCCCACTCTGCTGTTCTCAGCAGTCTGTGCCCAACTTCTGCTGCTTCCTAGTCGCTTTTCCTTGTTCCTGTCCACACCTGGCCCCTGCTGCAGCCCTCGGCTTCCCATGCTCGCCCTGAAGCAGCAGTGGCATTTCCTGAGCACCGAACACCGAACAGACTCTGTCAGTCTCTGCTCTTAGCGCTTTACACCTGTCCGCGCACTGTGGCCACAGTGGATGAACCCCACTGCCTCTAGGCTACGGCAGAGGACACCGAGGCACCATGGAGTGGGTCCCATGTGAACATCATCACTTGCGGGACCAAAACGGCTGGAGTGGATTTTGTCGTGTCGCCTTCCGCTTCTGCGGTGACAGTATTTCCACTAACGCCTCAGGCCCCTGGAGCAGCAATCTTGGCATCGCGACATTAGTTTTCAGACCATGAAAAGGTGCTGCCGATTACTGTTCAGTACGTTGCTCAGATCCAGTCCCCTGTCATCTTTCCACTCTCTGTGTGTAACTCCCAACCATGGATGTCACACCGCCATCCCCGGGCTCTGTTGTCCTCAATCCGCCCAGACTGAATTAGGACCCAGCTTTTGTGGTTAATTTACTGCAGTGTATAAAAAAAGGATTGGATGGGGGGATGGGAGGGGAGGGTGGTCAGGGTGCATGTGAGGGGGGAGAGAGGGTGAGAGGGAGGGAGGGAGGGAGAGGGAACTGGGATCGACATGTAAAATAAAATAAATAAATAAATAAATAAATAAAGGGTTGGAAAAACAGACTGAGGCCTGGAAGATACCTATTCTATGCTAAACATCTTGTCTAAGGCATGGATAAAAAGGCATGTGGATAAATGTATGCGAAGCAGTTTCATAATAAAAAGTAAAAGGATGGGAGTATTCTAATGTGTGGCAAGAGTCGCCAAAACATTTGTCTTCTTCTAAAGGAGTTCTGAGATACTAATTACTTCAGAAGCTAATCATAAATAAGTTTAAAATACTTTGTAAAGCCGGGCTGGAGAGATGCCCTAGTGGTTAAGGGTGCTTGCTGCTCTTCCAGAGGGCCACAATTTAGTTCCTGAGCCCCTACCGGGTGGCTCACAGGAGCCTGTGACTGCTGATGACCTCTTATGGCCTCCACGGGCACTTGCATACACGCACACACACACACAGACACACAAGTAAAAAACAAAACCATCTTTGGAGAGCGGCAGGCACATGTCCACGGCAATATGAACAACAGCACAGCAGTGACTCATGCTACAGGAAGCTGCAATTTCTTCCTAATAATGGGCATATTTTACTTCTATCATTAGAAAACCTTTTCCTTTCCCGTGCTAGCACTGAAACCGGGACCCGGTATACTGTAGGCAAGTGTTCTACCACTCAGCTACACCCCTAACCTAGGAAAGTAACTTCTGAGCACAATGTGCTGGAGCGTGCCTTTAATCCCAGCACTCGGGAGCTCCATGACAACATGAGCTACATTAGTGAGTTCCAGGACAGCCAGAGCTATTTACAGAGACCCTGTCTCAAAAAAACCCAAAAACCAAAAACCAAAAAAACAATACCCTAAAACCTACCAACCAAACAAACGGAAAAAACCTCCTCTAAAGAGTTAGGTAAATCGGAGAATTCTAGGATGGCTGTCTACTGCCTGTGTTGAGCTGTAACTACCCTAGAGGAGTCTACCCTAGCCAGCACTGCCTCCCAGGGCTCACTAGCCTTAGACCTTGATTCCCAAGCCAGGTGTCCCCTATTATCCCTGCTGTCCTGCATCATCCCTGCCTAATTGACATACTGTTTACCAAGCCCTCCCAGCCTTCCAAACCTCCCTCTTCTGAAAGGCTTAGCAGGTGACCCCAGCCCACAGCATACCCCTTGAGTCTGGGATGCTTTTGTGGTTTTGTTTCAAGACTTGAAGCAAGGAGGCTGAAAGGCGTCCAGGGCCCCTCTCTGCCTCCAGAGCTGCACTGGCCCAGAGTACAAGACCAAATTCTAAAGAAAGGCTGGTTTTGAGTGCAGATACCTTATGACCACATCAAACTGGTTGAGGGCGTGGCCCAGCTCTAGTCCATGCAGGATGCCTCCATTGCCAACAACCACACAGCGCTTACAGTGCTTGGCTCTCAAGTGCTCGGGAAAATCACGCTCAGGCAGCAGGTCCAAGAGGCTCTGGATGTTACTGGAGAACTTCCGGAATCCAAAAGGAGGGTCATATTTGAGTTCGGCTTCACTGGCCTTGGGGACTTTCTGCACAAAGGGCTCCAAGTTCATGCTGTACCTGTGCTCAAATAACTGAGCCATGGCTTTCTTCGCAAACCTGGGCCGGCATTCCTTCTGTAGGACTTGCTGAGCGTATCTCTGAGCTCTCTGAAAGGGGAAGAGCAACACAGGCTGTAAAACCTCTCCATCACCCAGCACTCGGGAGGCAGAGGCAGGCGGATCTCTGTGAGTTCAAGGCCAGCCTGGTCTACAGAGCGATTTCCAGGACAGGCTCCAAGGCAAACAGAGAAATCCTGCTTTGAAACAAACAAACAAACAAACGCAAACCAAAAATCTCTCCACCATTAGAAACAGCACTGTGTAGACACTTAGTTTCCCGTAATGCCTGGAGTCACTATTCCCTTGTTGGTTGCCATCTGGTAACACAGAGCATTTGCCTTTTAGGGTTAGATTTTTCTCAGGAACAGGAAGGAACAAGAGGCCACATCACGTGACAAGAATAAAAATTCTACAGGGTACTGATTTCATTATGGCAGCGAGACAAACCAGTCACATGAAGATGGGCATTAAGAAGTGGACAGATTTACAGAAGCAGGGTGGGGGGAACCAGGGTAAAAGGTGATGGAGAGGAAATGCGTCTAACGGGCATGGTGTTCAGCTTCGGATACTGAAAGGTTCTGGAGGGCCAGCAAGATGGCTCTGGAGGTCAAGGTGGCTGGGGCTAACTAAACCTGACAACACAACCCAAATTCAATCTCTGGGACCCACAGGATGGAAGGAGAGAGGTGACTCCCAAAGATGGTCCTCTGAGCTCCACACAATGCTATGGTATAGACAGACAGAGAGACACACACTAAGTAAGAGGAAGTTCTAGAGGTCTGTTTCACCATGCTGAATTGGGGCTGGTAATGTAGCTTAGTGGTATGGTTTCTTGGCATGTTGCAAGGCTTTGGTTGGCTCAACACTGCCCCCTCCTGGTTAAGATGGTAAACTGTGTTATGTGTTTTGTTTGTTTGTTTATTTTTTTTTTTAACTACAACAATAATGAAGAGCTTCGTATTTTCTACCTAGCAGGGTCAGGACCAGTCTTGTTAACAGTAGGGTTAATCGACTTTGGGCAGCGTGGAAGACAAATGGCCAAGTCAAGGAAGAAACCTATCATACATGACCCTGTATCCTCAGGAACGACTCCACCATAAGGCTTGGGGCGTTAAGGCCACACTGGGGGCGGCAAAGGCCACAGAGGGTCCCTGCTAGGGTCTTCATTCACCTCTGTAGACGCCGGGTCTGGTGGTCACAAACAGCTGCTTCTGGAGCCCTGAAGGCCCAGTGTGGCCCTATGACATACGCCCTGCCCATGTGCCACCCGTGACCCAAAGGAACCAGGAGACCCAGGGACGTGTCACTTTGTCTGGGCTGCAAGGAGGTCGCAAGCAAGCTAGAAGCATGTGCACAGCTCTCCCGTGCTGCCAAATCTTTTCTTTAGAAGTTTCCTTTGGAGTGGAGTGAAATTTCAATCCATTCCCTGTCCTGACACAGCATTCCATTTCAGGCTTCAGATTTAATCTGGTATATTGTGAGCAGAGCCCAAGGCCCAGCTGTCACCCTCTGCGGTGAACTCTTCCTGTGCCCGCTTCACAGCCAGGGCAGGAAATCTGAGGAGAGCAAGCAGGCACACCTAAATGACAGCCGGTGCCAGCTCCTCCTCACTCTTGTTCCCACTGTTTAAAGCCACGCTGAGCTCTCGATGTGTCTTCCCTCCTTTCCCTACATGGGGTTCACAGCTCGGAAAAAATAAAATAAAATAAAATAAAACACACGCGCACACACGCACTCACACACACATTCACACACACGCATGCACACACGCACAAGGAGCAGCTCACTTTAAGGAGCTGGGGTGCTTACAGGTAGGTGGGGAGCACGGCACCCAAGTGAGGGAGGGTTGACTGGCAGGCACCAGCCCCTGGCCTGGACGGCACCATCCAGGTGGCTGTGGGGTGCAGAGAGCTAGTGTTACTCTTGTAAGATACAAGACACCATGTCAAATCTAGGGTGGAAACGAGGGCTTTAGTTCTTCAAAGTCTCCGGGTTGAGCTGCAAGCTACAAACAACGAAGAAAAAAAGGCATCTTGAAGGCCCAGCTGTTTAATGATGTGACAATTTGCCATGAAACACCACACCATGGAAGTTCACTGAAGGGAATTAAGGTCAGGTAATTTCCTTAGCAAAATCTCCATGTCATCTCCACTCCTTAACCTGAAGGACCCTGCTTCTTAGAAATACAAGCGGCACACTTATAAGTACACAATTGCCTACTGATTTTATAATTTCAGGAGAGGGGGGAATTTAGGTCAAAGAACTTCAGGATAACTAAATATGCGGAGCCTAGCTCCACCACAGCTCTTGGGATCTGAGGACAGTTATGTTTCTCATACTGGTTAATGAATCACTGTGGGCCAATAGGAAAGCAGGATAGGAGGGACTAGGAGACATGGAGGAGAGAGGAAGGAGTAGGGAGTCAACATGGAGAGACTGGAGAGAGCAGAACACCAGCCCTCTCTCCGGGAAGATGAGACCACGTGGAAACACTTAGATTAATAGAAATGGGTTAATACTTAAGACAGCGCTAGCGGATAAGAAACTAGTAACTGGCCAACAGCATTATATCAAATACAGAGTCGCGGTGTGTTAACTGGCACCGCGGTGGGTCTAGGCCGGCAGGAAAAACAATATAGAAATGCCTGTCCCCACATCTGTAATCGCACACTGGCCGCCTCCTCCTGGTGCCTGGTTCCTGGTACAACTGTGAGCAAAGTTCTCAGGCACAGCCACCTGCCCACAGGCTCACTGGGACCTAAGCAGACAAAATTTCAGGGTACTCAGGGGAAGGACGCCATAGTGAAACCTCGGTGAGACAGAGGATACCGGGGCCCCGTGGAGAATTAGTTGAGAACTGAATAAAAAGCGCTCTGAGGGAACTAATCAGGGTGACAGGACACCGCAGAAGGAGTTAGGGTGCAGCTGGTATAACTCAGAGAGCAGCCCGCAGGAGTAAGCCCTACTGGGCGGTTTCAGATCTGTTTAATCACAAGCAGTATATCATTTGGCCATACCAGTGGGCACTGGGTGGAGACTTCAGCTTTTTCACCTCTGATACTTTTGGGGTGGTCTGTGGGAGATGGTACCAAGGCTATCAGAGAAGCCTGCAGGGTGCCGCTGCCTGAGCTGGAGGAGCAGCTCAGCAGGATGAGCCTGAGTAAGTGGGTTCTGTGGAGCTGAGCGAGCCGAGGAGTCGGGCCACGGTTACCAGCTATAGGGCACGGAATGCTGTCCCTAGGGCGATCTCTGGTCTTTGGCTCTCTCAAAGCACTCCACCACTCACTGGAACCAAGCCTAAATTAACACAACATGACAGTCTCTCCTCAAATATCTTTTAAGTGCAATTTCAATCTGAACCACACTTTCCATATGCCTAAGCATCTCTTCAGAGACCACGACTGGTCTTGTTAACAACTGGCACACTAAATGACACTTTTAAGAAAAAAAAACACCCACAAAACCCACAAACCTCACAGCTTGGCATCTGTTCTCCCTCCCCTGCAGAATGAATGCCACTTGGGCAACCGTGCAGCTGGGAACAGGAGTCTGACAGGGCAGGGTACCATTCCTGCTTCCAGATGCTGGATGCAAGAATGAAGCTAGCAGAGTTCACTCTTCTGAGACTTACATGCACTATCACTCAGATCTGCCCACATGGAAAGCCAGGAGTGTGTGTACATCTGCACTCCCAGTCCATGGTTACAGCATGTAACAAACCAGTGCTATCTGCCGGCTTTGAGGACTTCCTGTTTGTTCCACTTTGTGCTAAGTGCAAGGAGCCAGCAACAAAAGCCGATGGGCTGTATTTACATGAAACAGGGAAACAGCCTTAGAGGCAGAGAGGGGATTCGTGCTGCTTGGGGAGGGAGTCACTGCTAATGGTCCTGGAGTTTCTGGGGGCCGACGAAAAGGCTCTGTACACGCATCACCAAGTAGCACAGCTCTGTGGATATGTGAAAGGCCCCGCACCATATGCCCCGAACAGTGAGTTTCATGATGTGTGAATTGTATCTCGACCAAATGGCTAGAGAGAGAGAGGTTCAGAGGTGACAAGAGAGAGAAGCTCCACACAGTGCACACAGCAGGGGTAGTGCTGGGAGGACTCGATGATGGACTGGGATGACTCGATGATGGACTGGGAGGACTTGATGATGGACTGGAAGGACTCAATGAGGGACTGGGAGGACTCGATGATGGACTGGGAGGACTCGATGATGGACCAGGAAGTCTCCCAGGTGGACAAAGGGACCTCTGTGTGCTTCTGACAACGATGACACGGCAGGCTCAGTTTTCAGAAATTCTACTGTGCTATCACAAGGCACGTCTGGGGCAAAGACAAGCCGGAAACAGACGACATGTAGAACAGAGCACTCCCAAGGGCCAGCTAGGCGTGTGAGCCTTTCCTTAGACTATCGGGGACTTTATGAACTTAATTCCACTCTCAAATAATTTACAGTTCGGACAGACTGCTAATATACTCACGTGAATTAATATGACAGGGTCTAGGGCGAATGGCAGGAGACCTCAAGCCTTTCCTTCTGCAGTTTGGTTGCTAGTCCAATACACCTCCCCGTCAGTGAGGCCACATAGGCATTTGCCCCAAGTCAGATCTTTTAGGCTATGCAAGTGTTCACCTTCTTGTGATGGTGCCCCAGTTTCTCTTTGGTCTCTACCAAAAGTCATTAAGACGCTGAAGAACTTTAAAGAAAACAACCACAATAATTATGGGGCTGGAGCGATGGCTTAGTGGTTAAGAGCACTGGCTGTTCTTCCAGGGGACCTGGGTTTGATTCCCAGTACCCATCTGGAGGCTCAGCATCTGTAATCCCGGTTCTAGGGATCCAGTGCTTTCCTGGTCTCTGTGGGCACTGCACACTTGTAATATAAAGGCACACCTACAGGCAAAACATCTATATACATAAAAAAAAATCTCAAAAGAAGAGCAACAGCTACGTAATCAGAGCAGGAGCAGGGGTGGCGGCTGAGTGTCAAAGGGCTCGCTGCACAAGCCTGAAGACCCATGGGAAACACCAGGCATGGTGGCGTGCACACACAGAAAGACACATATGTACGGTTGTCTGACCATCCTTAATGTAGTTGTGGGGGGAAACAGTGAAGGCAGGCAGCCGGGTCTCTACTTCTGCCAAGTGTACAGCGTTATGACAAAGCATCCACTCTGTGCCCATGCAGCATGTTCAGCCTCATGTGAGAGACTCCAGAACCTCCAACTGGCTGGCAGGCAGGCAGGCACCGGCACACGTAAATAAAAGGACAGGGAAATAAGATGTGCCAGAAAGTGGAGAAGCTCAGGGAAGAATCAGACAGAAGAATCCACAGTGATTCAGCAAACCACACCAAATGCCATTATTTTAGGCCTTTCCCAGGAGATAGAAAACAGACAGAGTGTCAAAAACGCTGATCCAAGAGCCCTGAGAAAGGCCTTGGAACTGAACGGGCTTCAGGGAATGTCTGCAAGCCAGACAGATGGGCAGAGGATGGAGACACATGTGGCTCCAAAGCGGATGTGGGATACTGACGAAGCAAGAGGAAGCAGCAAACACCAGGGGACAGACGGAAAAGGGAAATCTATGACCAGACAGGGGTATGCTCCTCCGTGGCATGTTTATCTATCTGGACCCTAAAAAACCGGGGCATCGGAAGAATACAGGGTAAAAGCAGAAATGGGCGAATGCAAATCAAACAAGAAAGGCAGTATCTACACAGACACACATCACTCCTGACATTTTCCTCGTTGGGAAAACTTGGGACTGAAGCCAAGGGATTCGGATTCAATGGATTTGGTTTGGTTTAATCCGGTCATCTCAGCTGTGGACAGGAAGGGTGACGTGCTCACTGAGGTGACAGCACAGAGCATCCCCGGTGTGTTCCGGGCGGGCACCAAACACTGAACTAGACTAACCACACTAGCTACCTACTTTAGGCACAGGCGTGCAGGCAGGTCAAACCTGCAGGCCACTGTCTGCAGAGACATGATGCTGGGATGAGGTAGGACAATGACACAGTGAGTCACACTACATGTAACACCTGTTCCTATTGGAGCGCACCCCAGCCACACCACCTTGTTTTAAATCACCTTATCTAGAACCTTGGGCTAAACACTGCGGTCAAATTTAACCACTCAGCTTACCAGTGAAATCTGCATTTCATGTGACAAACCCCTTAGAAACATTGATAAAAATTTAAAGAAAATTGAAATACTGTATGAAAACCTTTAAAAGTAAAACCTGTCCTGGTGCTCACAGATAAGCGCTAGGTAAACCAGGAATGTTAAACACACACTGTTGTCTCTTCAGTGGGAGAGATGCACAACTGTCTTCTGCCCAGAAGGCTGGGAATGGAGGTGATAATAGCTTAGATGATCCTTGCATTATTTGTATGGTCAAGGAACCCCCAAACTCCTTCCAAACAGGGCTGGAGGTGGCTAACAGCGCAGATGACCTCTATGCTATCTGAATGACTGAGACCATACCAGATCCTCCCTCAGGCCCTTAAGTTAACACACGCAACCTGTCCTTAGAACCCATCTTCACGGAAGAGGTGACATGTGCTTTGAGAAGTTTATATGTAATGATGCCACCTTTGTGTACATGGGATTGTGTTACACCAGGGAACTTTCCAGATTGTATCATACTTAACTATGACTACAATAAAATGCCCGGTTTCAGACTCCAGAAGTTTGGACCAATACCAGCTACTGAGTCATGCTGAACTGGATTTCCTTCGAGCTTCACTTGGAGCATTACTCTGCTGGCTGTGGGTGTTTGCAGAGACCCCCCCCCCCACAATAATCAGAGCTCAGGAACGACACATCACACCCACAGAAATGTTTTAGAAGAATGATGGGTAGCATCATGACAAATAAACTCTACGGTAGGCACCACACTACGTGTCCAGTAGAGCCCACTGGTAAATGAAGAAGACTACCACCGAGTGAAAGTGGCGTCTTTGCTTTGGCAGTGCTGAGATTGGTTTTCCCTTTGTCCTAGTCAGCTTTAGAGAGTCACTCGAGAAAAGAAGTCCCAATGGAGGAACTGCCCAAATCAGCCTCTGGGTATGTCTATGGGGACCTGTCTTGACTGTGATGCTGGAGGGCCCAACCCACTGTGGGAAGGACCATCCCCTGGGCAAGTGGTCTGTGTAGGGGAATTAGCCGAGCATGAGAATGTGCAAGCCAGCAGGCAGTGCTCCTCCATGGTTTCTGATGCGCTGTCTTGGCTTTGAGTGAGTTCCCTGCTCAGAAGGTAATCTGCACGGAACTGCAATCTGCACGGAACCTCAAGCAGGCTTGCCTTAGAGCTCTTGCCTTGATTGCCCCCAGCGATGGACTGTGGCCTGTAAACTGAAATAAGGCTTCCCTACTCTTTTTTTAAAAACAGAAACAGATACGAAGCCAGAACACTTCTTACTCAGATTTTCATTAGCATGCCTAGGTCGCGCAGTAGAGACGGGACAGCAGCTAAAGTGTGTGTGCTTGGAAGTGTTGAAATTTAAAGCCCATGCCATAGCTCACCTTTATGCGGTCAGGGTCCACGTAATGCATTCTCTTCATGTCACATTCTTCAACAGTGTAATTTACCTTGAGGATGTACAGCAGCCACACTGCAAACACAACCGATGTACACCTGGGTGGGGAATCGGTACAGTAAATGCAGTCTGTGGCGCCCAGAGGAAAACATAAACTAAGTACAATCCAAGTTCAAATGGAATAAAAGTAGAATCTAAGACAGTGGTCCTTAACCAAGGGGTCAGAGGACCCTTTCACACGGGCTGCATATGAGACAGCCTGCATAGCAGACCTTTAAGTTATGATTCATAACAGAAGCAAAATTACAGTTATGGAGCAGCAATGGAAACAATTCTGTGGTTGGAGGTCACCAGAACACGAGGAACTGTATTAGAGGTCGAAGCAGCAGACAGGCTGGCTGAGAACCACCGACAAAGGGTCACCAGGGGTAAAGGGGACACCAGGTGTCATCTGGTGAGATAAATTAGCCATTTATGATTGTCTTTTTTTTTTTTTTTAAATAAGCAAATATAGAATCCTTTCCCACCCCAACTTTCTTTTGCAAGGGCAGACAATCCAAATAACAATGCTGATGATGGGACCGAACTACATACAGATACACACAGAATCTTGGCTTCGATCTTTTTTTTTTTTTTTCTTTCCTGCTTCTTTAAACAGTCAGGCCTTTAAAAAAGAAACAATCTTCGTGCAGGGAGAGGCGGGAAAACCACAGAGGCAGTTCTTAGGTATGAATTCTCAGAGTTTAAAAAACGATCTTACTGGTGGCTAACAGCCACCTGTAACTCCAGTTCTAGGGGACCCTCTCCTGGCCTCTGGCACTACACATGCGCATAGACATGTGCATGATACACAGACACACTTGCAGGCAAAACATTAAAAAAAAAAAAAAAAAAAAAACGATCTCCAGAGTACTTTAATCTGGAGGAAGAAAGGAGGAAGATTTCAACTTTGGCTGGTAGCAAAGAACCATCAAGCTCTTCCTTTGCTGGTCTTCTAGTCGCTGGGAAATAAGAGTCACCTGGTGCTGTCGTCTCTGATTTTCAGTATTTAGTGGTACTTAGGAGTCCTCAGGGCACTTTAATTTGTTGTATTTATATTAGCTCACAACAGCTAATCTATACCCGGAGTCTTCCCCCAACTGAGGTTTAATTAGGGTTTTCCCCTAACAACAGGTAGGAACCTCACTAACCACTTTTCCTAACCCTATGCTGTTGACCTGGAGAGGGGACAGGACCTGGACACTGTGCTTACTTGAGAATGTCTTTTAATAGCAAGCTGGGTCTTCTCATCTTGTTCTGGGTTCGGGTGTACCATTGCAGGGAGGTCCTTGAGCAATCTCTTCTCAGATCTGCAGAGGCGAACTCAGCTGGCATTTCTGGGAGGAGAGAGGGTAAGAAAGAAGCAGCGTCAGGCAGATTATACACTAAGATGCTAAAATGATACAGGTATGCTTGGAGTGCTACTTGGTGGTAACAGGGGCGGCTTTCTGATACCATGACTTGGATTAATCTACGGGAGTTAGGAGGAGCTGGTGTTAAGGAGTCACACCTGTATGATACCTAAAACTCTTCAGATGACAAACCACAGAACCAGAGCGGACAGCAATGGATGGGTTGCCAGGTGTGAAGGGAAAAAGGAGGTGTGCTAGTACATGCCGATAATCCCAGCACTTGGGAGGCTGAGGCAGGAGGATGGCGAGTACAAGGGCTGCACACATTGTCTCAGGGAAAATAAATAAATGAGGAGGAGTGTGGGGTGTGGCACTGTGAAGGGCCCTGAAGTGATGGAAATGTTCTGGGCCTTGAAGTATCCGTGCTGACATGCCTGTTAAGACATAGCACTATTGTTTTGCAAAATGCCATGGGGGGGGGTAAAGTTACAGAGAATCTATAGACTGTCACATATGAATCTACAACTATTCCAAAATTTAAAATCTTAATTTGGGGTAGGGGACTGGCAGGATGGCTAATTAGAACAAGGCAAGTCTGATGCCAGGAAATCTGGTGACCTGGTTTTGATCCCTGGGTTCCACTTAGTAGGAGAGAATTAATACCTGAAAGTTGTCTTCTGCCCTCTGCAAGTGTGTGAGTGTGCGTGTGAGTGTGCGTGCGTGTGTGAGTGTGTGTATGCGGGTGTATGTGTGTGAGTGTGCATGTGTGAGTGTGTGTATGTGTGTGAGTGGGTGTGCACGCATGTGTGCGTGTGCGTATGCGTGTGCATATGCATGTGTGCGTGTGTGAGTGTGTGTGCATGTGTGTGAGTCTGTGTATGTGTGTGCACGTGTGTGTTGTGTGCGTGAGTGTGCACGTGTGTGTTGTGTGCGTGAGTGTGCATGTGTGTTGTGTGTGTGAGTGTGTGTGCATGTGTGTGAGTCTGTGTATGTGTGTGCACGTGTGTGTTGTGTGTGTGTGAGTGTGTGTGCATGTGTGTGAGCACCTGTGTTGACATCAGAGGACAACTTCATGGCATTCACCTTCCCTTCCACCTTTATGTGGGTCCTGAGGATCAAACCCGGGTTGTCAGACTTGGGTGACAAGCACCCTTACTTTGTTTTGTAGGTTCCCAGTAAATGTTACAGCTCAGATGGAAAGGTATCCCGGCAGTCGGGAGCCAAAGGAATACAAAGTCATGCTGTTGATACCCTGGCTTCTCCCTCTCCCCGGGTTCTGCTCCTGACTCCTCTCCTCCTTCCCGCGGCTCCAGGGTTTCTCCCCAGCAGCCGCCTGTCCCTCCATGCTAGTCCTCTTCTGGACCTGTGCCTTCTCCTTAGGGAGCCCTTCCTGGTCTTGGGGGCCTCTCTAGTCCCTGGGTTCTCCCCCATCCCAGGATTGATCTTCTCTGGGCTCCCTTCCCTTGCCCGGGATTCATCATTGACAGGTGATGGCTCCTCACTGGCAGCTCAAAGGCTGGCAAAGGTCGTGCAAGCCTTAGGTGGTGCATGCCTTAGGTGGCTGCATAAGGGCTCTGCATGCAGACACCATGTGGAGCCGGGCCAATGGCAGCTCCATGACTCCAGTTTCGACACCCCCAACTGCTGAGACTTGTTCTAAACTGTCCCTGCCCTATGTAGGTAAGCGCCTCCCTCCTGCCCTTTCTCTTTCCTGATCAGTTAACACCTACACCCCACCCCCACCCCGCTCCCTTTCCCAATAAACTCCATGTGGGTTTGATGAGTTTGCTGGATTGTGTTTCATGTGGTTTGCCACCATCTTAGCTGCTGTCCCCATCAGGAAGTAGGCAGCTATGTGGCTGACAGCCATCTTTTGCTAGGGTGGGAGACGATAGATGTCATGTGACTTCACTGCTGTCTAGATTAAAGGTGACCACATGGCATAAACCAACCAAGGAGGCCACAGGTCTCCAAGATATTTTGGATTAGAATGGATTTTTGTATAAAAAAATCCTGTCCTGAAAACAAAGCTATAAAAACAAGGCTTATGAAAGATAGGATTTTAAAACAAGGCTTGTCTTTAAAAAAGGTATTAAAGCTGTATCTTCATGTGTTCACATACAAGAACGTACCTTGTGCTGGCAGCCAAACTCTGTAAAGTAAGAGTTGCCCAGGTGGTACTGGTTTTAAAGATAAGAAGGGGTCATAGAGAACAGCTGATTCTTGTCACTGTGTGTGTGGCAGGGCTGTTCATTCCTAAGGAGAGCCCGGGAAGGGACCCTAGCAGTTTTGGAGATAGATGCCTGTACCATGCGATGGCCACCAGACTCAGCAGCTGCCATGAATGGACCTGGCTGGGACCCGGAAGGCATGCTTTGATGCTGCTGAAGCTGAGGCCAGAGAGGTGGTCCAAGTCCCTGGGGGAGCCCAGGGGATTGTGGGTGGACCCCCGGTAAGGAGCATGGTGATGCCTGCACTGTTGGAGGTTGGTTATGCCTGGTCCAGACTGTGGCTGTGCTCTGTTTCTTCCCTCTGGAAGTCAAAACGGTACTTCACTGTTTGATATTGCAGGAGCCCACAGTTGAGACACTTTAAATTTAAGAGGAAATTTTGGGTGGCTGCAGAGATGGCTCAGAGGATAAGAGCACTGGCTGCTCTTCCAGGGGTCCCGAGTTCAATTCCCAGCAACCACATGGTGGCTCACAACCATGTATAATGAGACCTGGTGAACAGATGTACATGGAGGCAGAATGTTCTATTAAAAAGGAGGGAATTTTGGAGCTTTAAATTTAAATAAAAAAAACTAGATTTTTCTTTCTTCTTCTTCTTTTTTTTTTTTTTTTTAGTTTTTGAGACAGGGTTTCTTAGTGTAACAGAGCCCCGGCTGTCCTGGAACTCACTCTGTACACCAGGCTGGCCTCAAACGCAGAGATCCTCCTGCCTCTGCCTCCTGGGTGCCGAGATGAAAGGAATGCACCACCATACCCAGCTAAAACTGGTTTTTTTAAATAAAAAGGAACAGCTTTTAAAATATTTCAATTTATAAGACTGTTAAATTTACAAAATGTTTTACATTATTATTGTGTGATCTTAAAAAAATAAAAAGGCTAAAGAGTTAGGGCCACAACTAAGAACACCAGAAACTGGGATATTCCTAACTAGTAAAATAATGACCTAAGTGGCAAAGGGTTTAGAGGCTGCCTCTCCTTACCAAAGGTCTGTTCAGTCCGGCAGGGACTGATTTAAGACACTGGAAAGCACTGGCTGCTCCTGCAGAGGGCCCGAGTAAAAACGTGGTTCCTTATCTTAGCTGAACATAAGTAAACTGACACTCAAGTCATTTCCTTTTTCCCCTTCCCTCCCCACCCCCATACTCTAAATAACCTCTCCCTGAACTCCAGTTCTAACTCAGCAGATATTCTACCAACCCTACACTGAAAATATTTAATACCGCAGTGTATCATTCTACTTGAAGTACATTCAAAAAACAGTGTCAAAGACCTTATTAGGAAACCTTTGCTGAAGATAACACTGAAGCCTTAAATGAGAAGCCACAACAGCCAAGGCTGGAAAGTTTGCAAACTCTATGGTCAGCCTAGGGAGCAGAAGCAGAGGAGGCATGCTGGGACAGCGCTTGTGGCCTGTTCTAGTGGGAGTTCAGAAGCCACAGACAGAAGAGAACCGCTTATCTGGGACGGAAGCAATGGCCACTCGTGTGATATTTACCAACAATCTGGCTTATTTACCCATGCCATTAGAATCTGAGAGAAATTAAATTTAAAGACAATTGTTAGTATTCAGGCATCTGTACTGGCCTGCCCTTGGGGTCCTGACAGGATACGCCCTCAGCTGCAGCCATCTCTTCCCCCCTCTCCCTTCTCTTCTGTCCCCCTGTCCCCAGGGACTGGTCTCTGTCCACCGCTTTGTCTCTTCTCTCTCCTCTTCAAATAAACGTCCTCCTATGTGAGCCGTGTTGCATGGTGTTTTATTTATTTTTTTTAATTACAACATTGGTTCCCTGATCCAGAAAGGCTCTCCTGGAGTTTCCTCCTGCCTACCGGCAGTTTGAGACACACCAGAACCCCAGAACCCAGTCCACATGAGACAGCCTCTCTTTTCCACATCCCCTGGTCCCTCCACCCAACACGGGCAAGATTGGCGAGTCTCCCCCTCCCCCCACGTCTGGCCATTGCCCACTCATCTCGAGACTGTGGTTCCTCGACTCTTGGACAAGACCTGGTACCTGCAACCACAGGTCTCTCAGGCGTAGAGGCCCCCCCCCCCCCGCCCTGTGTGTGAGGACTCAACAGGCAGCGTGTGCCTTTCTCGTTTAATCCTCACGGGATAAAAAGCCATGGGATCTCGTTCTGCCTACCAAATATCCACTTCCCAGAACTCTAAGTCCTGGTGGAAGGAGGTGTCTTCTGCCTCCCCTCCCCCAGTAAACCTCTTGCAACGACTCTGCTGAGTGAGGCAGGTTTGTCTAGTGGCAGGGCCCACCAGAAGGTAATCACTTCATGCTGGGACCCTACCCAGCTGCTTTACCCCAACAGATCTGCTCTCTTCCATCTGCAACAAATCTGCATTCCCACTTACTGGCGGGAAGGCCTTCCACTCGATACTGGCGATTGGGTCTCTGGTGGGGCTACCTGCCTCTGACCCTTCCCCTGGATGGAAGGCTTCACTTCTCAAGCACAGCCCTCTCCTGGCTTCTCAAAGTCCCGGTGCCAGGAGACTATCTCTATCAGGCTCCAAGTCCTAGGCCCCTGCTGTGTTTGACAAATCACTGAGCAGCCCTCCCTGAATTGCGGGGCAATAGAAACGGCAGCCCTTGGGTCTTACTTCTCTGCCTCACTCATGGCAGCAGTATCACTGTCCACTGCTCCCACGGGGATGTTTTAGGAGACCCACTGACCACGCTGAAATCAGTTGTTACAGGACTACCAGCTGTTAGCCACAGAGCTGGAGGCGCAAGACTAGCAAGT